TCAGAGAGGTCTTTTCCTGCTTTCTCCTCTAAGGTTTTGATGGTTTCCTGTCTCACATTCAGGTCCTTTATCCATTTTGAGTTTATTTTTGTGAATGGTGTGAGAAAGTGGTCTAGTTTCAACCTTCTGCATGTTGCTGTCCAGTTCTCCCAGCACCATTTGTTAAAGAGACTGTCTTTTTTCCATTGGATGTTCTTTCCTGCTTTGTCAAAGATGAGTTGGCCATACGTTTGTGGGTCTAGTTCTGGGGTTTCTATTCTATTCCATTGGTCTATGTGTCTGTTTTTGTGCCAAGGAAGAATATATTTGAATATAAACTATGTACTAAGCTCTGTGCCAAACAATATGGTAGGCTAGATGAAAATTCTCACAATATAAACACCTTAAAATGTTAGCTAAAGTTGGAAAAACATCTAAAATGTATAGCTTAGTTCATAAGAAGAAAAGGGAAAACTCCAGGCAATGGGAAAAAAGGAAAGAATTGAACACCAGAGTGATGAGGCTGTGAGCTAATGCTGTGACTGCCTGGGCTTTGGGAACTATTTCCCTGGTTCTTGAGTTGTAACACCCATGTGGAAGGCAGGAAATTTGAGACCTGAGACTCCCCTCCCACCCCTTGTGATCAGTAGAATTACAGTATAGAGTCTCTGCCCACTATTCTAGAAAGGTGATGAGGAAGCATGTCTATTCTTCTGGGTATGAAAACACTTTCAAATCTGAGGTCTAAATTAACACAGAAATTGCTCCCCATCAGCGAAACTCCTGAGGATTCTAAAGAAATTAAAAAAACAATACCAAAAACTAATCTGAGTGATCCTCCCACAGTCCAAGCCATAAAAAAGATTCTATCCATAGCCTATATCCATAGCTTTCAGAAACTCACCATAAAAATTTATAAAACATGACAAAAAGCTCCTGGCCTTTCTCCTTGCCCATTTCTTCTTTTGTATATGGATGTGATGCCTAGAGTTACAACCATTATATGATGTCCACACTGGTGAGAAAGGCCAAAAAAACTGCAGAAATGCCAGGCCCAACAACACTGAGCTACAGAACCCTGCCAGTAGCCACCTACCTTTGGACTTTATGTCTGAAAAATAAAGTCCTCTCAGCTTAAACCACTTTTGTGGGTTTTCTGAATCTATAGCAGAAAGTATCCGTATTAGATTCAAAACAGAAGAATCCATGCAACAAAGTATACCCAGGAACAAACTTCAAAAGAAATATGAAAAATCTATCAAAAATATTTAAGGGGTGCCTGAGTCAGTTAAGTGTCTGACTCTTGGTTTCAGCTCAGGTCATGATCTCACAGTTTTGTGGGTTCAAGCCTCACATCGGGCTCTGTGCTGACAGCATGGAATCTGCTTGGGACTCTCTCCCTTCCTCCCTTTCAGCCCCTCTCCCACTTGCCCTGTCTCTCTCAAAATAAATAGACAAATTTAAAAAAATATTTAAAATGTTACTAGAGTATATAATAGAAGTCTTGAAAGAACAGAAAGATACATCCTGTTCATGAATAAGAGACTCAATAAAAATTGTAAAAACATTGAAGCTTCCTAAATTAATCTACAAATGAACTATGATACCAATAAAAATGTCAAAATAATTTTTTCCCAAGTGGAAAAAATACAATACCACGCATGGAAAATATAAATAAAGTCAAAAGGCAAATGATGATATGGGGAAAAATACCTGCAAAACAGATGACCAAGAGCTATTTTTCACATATAAAGAGTTCCCAAAAATCACTAAGAAGAAGAGCAATTACCCAAGAGAAAAATGGACAAAACCTTTAACAGACTTCTCAGGAAATGGAACACAAATATCATGTAAATAAGTGAAAAGATGCTCAACCTCACTCACAGAACAGGTGCAGATTAAACCTAATATTTTCACCTGATTGGTAAAGACCAACAAGTTTGATAATATGAAAGGTATACATTGTTAGTGAGAGTATCAATTGGTACAACCACCTTGAGTAGAGAATGACAAATTTTCTTTCATATCCCTTTGACTCAAAAATTTCACTTCCAGAATTTATCCTATAGATGAACAGTGTCATAGAAATATAAAGTCAGCCACAAATGCAAGCTCACTTATGTAATTTTAAATTTTCTAGTAACCACATTAAAAAAGAGAAAAAGGAAGAGGTAAAATTAACTGTAATATGCTTTATATAACCCAATATATCCAAAATATTATCATTTCAACATGTAATCAATATAAAATTAATTAAACATCTTACATTCTTTTTTCCTACTATGACTTTGAAATCCGGTGTGTATTTTACACTTTCAGTGTATCTTAGTTCATACTAGTCATATTTTAAATGTTCAAAAGCCATAGGTGGCTAGTGGCTACAATACTGGACAATGCAGCTATAAGATGATAAGAATAAAAGCAATTGGGGCACTGGGGTGGCTCAGTCGGTTGAGGGCCCAATTTCGGCTCAGGGCATGATCTCATGGTTCACGGGTTCGATCTCTGCATAGGGCTCTGCACTAACAGTGTGGAGCCTGCTTGGGGTTCTCTGTCTCCCTCTCTCTCTGTTCGCCCCCGTTCATGCTCTCTCTCTCTCTCTAATACATAAACATTAAAAATTAAAAAAAAAAAAAAGAATAGATGCAACAGCTAACATTTATTGAGCATTTATTGGAGCCAGACACTATACTAGGCATTTTGCATGCAGTATCTCCTTTAATCATCACTCTTACCCTATGACATTGGTTCTATTATTCCCCCTAGTTTGCAGATGGGGAAACTAAAGCACAGAGAAAAGAACTTGCCTGGGGTCACAAAGCTTCTGAGTGGCAGAGGCAGGTTTTAAACCCAACCCATAGTCTTAACCCCTATTCTAAATAGATCTACCCTATGACCCAGCAATAGCACTGCTAGGAATTTACCCAAGGGATACAGGAGTGCTGATGCACAGGGGCACTTGTACCCCAATGTTTATAGCAGCACTTTCAACAATAGCCAAATTATGGAAAGAGCCTAAATGTCCATCAACTGATGAACGGATAAAGAAATTGTGGTTTATATACACAATGGAATACTACTTGGCAATGAGAAAGAATCAGATATGGCCTTTTGTAGCAATGTGGATGGAACTGGAGAGTGTGATGCTAAGTGAAATAAGTCATACAGAGCAAGACAGATACCATATGTTTTCACTCTTCCTGAGAAACTTAACAGAAGACCATGGGGGAGGGGAAGGAAATAAAAAGTTAGAGAGGGAGGGAGGCAAACCATAAGAGACTCTTAAAAACTGAGAACAAACTGAGGGTTGATGGGGGGTGGGAGGGAGGGAAAGTGGGTGATGGGCATTGAGGAGGGCACCTGTTGGGATGAGCACTGGGTGTTGTATGGAAACCAATTTGACAATAAATTTCGTATTAAAAAAACAACTATTCTATACTGACTATGCAAATCTACTTAAACATATGAACAAAGACATATGTACAATATTCTTTGTAGCACTGTTTATGAGTAGCAGAAGATCAGAAACAAATGAAATGTTCCTCAACAGAGGACTGGTCAAATAAACCAGGATTCGTTTATACAGATTTTTAAAGAGGAATAAGGCAGACCTATCTACCTATCAATTGATCAACTGAGAGAATGATCTCTAAGACTGTTTCATGCTGTTGTGTGAAAAACAGCAAGGTGTAGAACACTATATAGTACTCTCCCATTTATGGAAAAAAATGTGGGAGTGACACTCTCCCATTTATAGAAAAAATGTGGGAGTGACAAATACATATATAATTATACATGCATAGACAATCTCTGGGAGGAAACAAAACCAGAAACAATATTTGCTTCTGAATAGGGGTACTGGGGGAAAGAAATGGGAGAGGTACTTTTGGCTGTTTCACTTTTTACACTGTTTAACTTTTATCCTTTTTACATCGTGCTTATATTTTAAGGAAAAAAATCTTTGAGGCTCTATTATGTGACAAATACGTTCACCAGGAATGACTACCATAACAGGTGAAGTCCTTCCACCCCTGAGCTTATATTGGGGAAGAGCGTTGGGGAAGGTCAAACAAGTCAATAAAGAAGCAATTCATCCTAAAGAAAGCAGATAATCAGAGACAGTGATAAGTTCTGTAAAGGAAATAAACAAGATGATGAGAAAGTCACTGAGGGAAGTCACTTCAGATAAGATGGCTTGGGAAGGTCTCTTCAAGGAAATAACATGTGGGCAGGAATCTGAAGGATGAAAATAAGCAAATCTGCAAGATTAAGGGAGAGCAATCCAAGCAGAGGAAAAAATAATTACAAAGGCTCAGAGGTGGGAAAGGCTTTGGTATACTGGAGGACCAAAGGAACAGAAAGAAACAGTAGTGTGAGTGGAATGTAGTGGACACAGGAGAGGAATGAATGAAATGAGGTTGAAGAGGTAGACAGGAGACAGAGTCCTGGAAACCCCAAGGTAAGGAGTGTGGATTTTATTTGAAGAGTGAGAAGCCACTGGAGAATTTTAAGAAGGAAAGTAACATGACCTTTTCATATTAAATAAAAATCATCTGCTTGCTTGGTGGAAAATGGATTTCAGGGAGAACAACGGGACTAGAACGAGACCAGATAGGATGCCGTAGCTCTGACATAAGATAAAAGTGCTTGATGACGGTGGAGGTAGAAGTGAGCAGAGCAAATATATTCAACATACATTTTATTTTATTGTATTTTATTATTATTTTTTAAAGTGTGTTTATTTATTTTTTACTTACTTAGAGAGAGTGGTGGACGGGTAGAGAGATAGGGAGAGAGAGAATCCCAAGCAGGCTCCATGCTCAGCTCAGAGCAGACCCCTTCCTGACTGTGAGATCACAACCTGAGCCAAAACCAAGAGTCGGACGCTCAACCAACTGAGCCACCCAGGCACCCCTCAACATACATTTTAAATGTAGAATCTGTAGAATCTTTTAGTGGGTTAAATGTTAGGAGTGAAGGAAAATGAATAATCAAGAATAATTTTGGGGGGCACTGGCTGGGCACCTGGGTGGGGGGTAGGATCAGCTCCATGCTAAGTGTGGAGCCTGGTTGGGATTCCCTCCTTCTCTCTCAGCCCTTCTCCTGCTCATGAGCACATGGCATGCACTCTCTCTCTCTCTCTCAGTAAATAAATAAATAAATAAATAAATAAATAAATAAATAAATAAAATTATTTTTGGTCTTTGTTTGGGTGGCTAATAATGTCAATTTACAGAGGTGGGGAAGATTCAGGGAGGAACAAATTTGGGTGTGCATGTGACAGGTTGTGGGGGAATTAAGACCTCTATTTGAGAGACACTAATTCTGAAATGTCTATTAGACATCCCAATGGATATCAGGTAGATAGCTGGATTTAGAAATCTGATCTGATGCTCAGAGGAGAGATCTGGGTTCTCAGCTCTCTTTGACAGTTGACTTCTTCTTCCTTGCAACTCTCTTCTTATCCCTTTGGTTTTTATGGCACTAATCTCCCCTGGTCTATCCTCTATCTCCAGCTCTTCTTCTTTCTGCCTTCCTTAAAGTTGATGTTCCCTGGGGATCCCTTTTGTACCTATTTTTTACTATATACTGTCTCTGGGCCACTCACCTAACTAAAAGACTTCCAAATATTCTTACATGTTCTAATATGTATGATAACCCCCAAATCTGTAACTTTAACCTTAGATTTCTCCCCAAAGAAGATCTATATATATCCAGTCACCTACCGGATGTTGCTACCTGGTTGGCCCACAAAGACCTCAAACTTAATATGTCCCAAACTGAATTAATCATGCTTCTTCTCTGTCTCTGTGCATAGTAACACTACCCATTTAGCTGGCCAGGGCCAAAATCATAGATTAGTACTAAATCTTCTTTTCCCTAATAAAACAGAGTTCAGTGTACCTGAAGACCTCCCATACAAGAAGAAAAACAAATGTAAGATCATGCATTCATCACCCAGGAGCCCTGAACACTGGCTCAATACTGTGCTGTACCCTCTCTTTGCTGCTCTTCGCCCCTCTCTGCCCTGCTTTCTGCCATGCAGGCTGACACATCAAATGGATCCTACAGCCAACGGGGAGTCCCAGTAGAAGGTTGGAGGAAAAGGAGAGTGAGATAAAGGTACTGTTCCTCTGGCTTTCCTCCTGCAAACTCCCATTCATTCTTTAAGTTCTCAGTTCTCAGTATGACTTTGTTTCTAAAATGTAGACAGGGTGGGTTTGAGATAGGATGGGGAAATCAAAGGCAGTAGAATACTAGAAGTAAAAAGACCACTGAAGAGATTTTTGTAGTAGTACACGTTGAGAAGTAATAGGGCCATTAGGAAAACACATCCTTCAAGGGCTGGCCCTCATGTTTTTATATTCCTGTCCCCAACATCTAACCCTGATCCTCAGTGATGAAAGTATAACTCAGCACATATTATTTAAATAAAATAAGAACTATACAATAAGCAAAGATCAAGAGTCCAAAGTTTACCTTGTACCCGTTGTCTTCTTTGCGGTTGTGAGAAGCAGTAATCATCACACCTGCAACTGCTTTGAGCTCCTGGACCGCATATGGCTGAAAAAACAGTCACACCATAATTCCATTTTGCTTTCCACCTACTTACACATTTGACATAGGAATAACTTTGAGTAACAGGAGAAGACATTAAGACAGAAATAGGCTAAAACTTGTTATCTTGTTATAGATCAAATTCTTTGGTGGTTCAACACATGCTTGTTGAATGAAAATAAACTCAGTGTAAACTTTGTTTCCCTTCCTTTGGTCTTTCATGTCACTTAATATAGAACTGTAAGCATGACAAATATTTGAATCCTGGTTGATTTAAGAAATTTTTTTAATTTGTGGCAACAAACTGTACAATCAATAATATAAAACACTTACTACAAAAGGCGTAGGAACATATCTTGAAAAAAGGTACACAGGAACATCTTTGGCCAATAAGACTGCAGCAGTGAGTTTAGCAAGTCTAAAAAAAAAATTGAGGGAGATTTCACTCAGTCCTTAGCTTATCATAGATTTTAAAACCTAACCTTCTACAAGATAAAGGTTTCATATTGGAATTATTCTGAACATATAGTAGCCTAATATAACCAATTCTTATAATCAGCAGTTAAACTTCATGCTCCAACTTAAAAATGTTAAATACATAAGGCTTTTTAAAAAGGAAGTTAATAAGAAACAGAACTGATCTTTTAATTTCCTCCTTTTTCCTTAATCATCTTTTGATGGCTCCTTTACTAAGAAATAAAACCTGAAAAGGGCAAAAAGAATGCAGGAAAGTGAAATAAGAGACTCTGATAAACACAATTGCATAAGTAACCCCTGAAAAAAGTATCACTATCTCATGACTATGTGTGAAAATCACCTAAAACTAATTAAATGGGATTATAATGAGAGAATACAATTTATTTAATCATTCCTACCTGGTGCTTTTGCCAAAGTATTAAAATCATAACATAAACTATGATACCATTCTAAATACTAACTCTAAATATTTAAAAATTTTAATCCTGCCTGTAAAACCTAAGGGTTCTTTTTAAAATGCTTCTATTTCATCTCTAAAATAAACATCAGCATGTGATCACATTTCTATTTGACAGTTTCCTGTTTCAGAAATCCTACTGTTAATTTTTTTTTTAAGGCTATCGCAATCCAACTTAATCTCTGAAACAATTAACGCTGTACCTCTGGCTGCTGCAGCTGCTAGTTACTTGACCCCGGGTGTCATACCCGACGACAAAGCCTCTCTGCTTGAAGTCTGAGAAGCATCTCTCAAGGTATTTGTACATTCCCTGGAGCAGATAAACACAAAAGATTAGTTCCTGATTAATACCTGCATTTTCCACAACTTAAAATCTATTATTTTTATGTGTAGTGGTCAGTTTATCGGCTCATAGGGAACCGGCTTCTGCCTTCATACTCATGTTTACCGATTTGGGAACAATACTGTTCAAGCCTCAAATGTGAGATGACAAGCATTTATTTCCTGGAATTTCAGACTCATTTAATACCACAGAAATATCAATTAAGTAACTATTAAATCCAATATGATACATAAAACATTAGGGGAAAACGAGGGGACAAGAGAGTCAGTATGCTAAGAAAAAAATACTGTCAGAAGACCCAAAAGAAATTGTTTCTTGTCTTAAGGCTCTAGAGAATAGAATTTTGACCATATTTGGCCTTGCTAAATCATAAGACTGAAGCCAACCAAAATATTTGACCTATTTATGACACAAACATTTTAAATCAGCAACATAAACCTTCATCAGAACATTTCTTAAGATGGCTGATCCCGTTCTTAATTCCTTAGTTTTAAAATCTCACAGAAAGAAAATCTCATAAAGTAGGAAAATATGCAGTCACTGGTGACAAAAAAAGAAGCGAAGCACTGAATACTGAAAATATCACAACGATAAACTAAAACCATTTAACTAACTTATGGTTTGATAACTTCAATAAGTGCTTTCATCTCTGAAAATAACACTTCATATTTTATAGTCCTTTAAAACCATTATCAAAAGTGTTGCCACATTTAATCCTCATGACCCCAAAAAGAAAGAATGCAGATACCTTTTCTATTTTTGTCTTTCAATATCTCTTCAAAAAAAGAGGTGACAGAGTAAGACTGAAGCTCCATTTAATGAATTGCCCAAGGCAATTCATTCAACTAAAACTAAGTTATACTAATTTATTGAAGTACTGGATGGCAGGCACTGCTAAGTAACTATGTGGCAGCACCAAATGAAGCCCCAGGGACCTCTAGACCCTTTTTTCATGGCTCTTTCAAGTGTAATTATTCTTTTCAACCTGCTCCTCAAAGAGGATTTCAATTACTTCCATTTTGACCTTAGGCTCTAATTTCCTAATTGATTAAGTTCTTTTTCCCAGCTAATCTCTTAACTCAGCAAAGATGCTGGCAAAGCATCTCCTTATGGAAACTGTAACTGTGACTACCCTGAGCCAGCAAGACCCACATGATTGACTACAAGACTGTGAGCAACTTGACCCTCACTGCCCACCTGCAAGTACCTCCCTACCTTTGTCCCACATTTTCCTTATACAAACCTGGAATTATTTTCAGCACTTTGGAGGCAGTCTTTGAGATGCTAGTCTGCTGTCTTCCCGGTGTTGGTATCACTGATATAAATTCCTGTCTTGTTTCACCACCACCCCACTCTCTTTGGATTTTGTCATTGGCAAGTGGTCAAATTTGGTTTGTTTGGGACCCCAAGTGCCAGGTGCTCTTGCCCCCCGTCCACGGGTTACATTCCCTATGAATGTGTGTGTGTGTGTGTGTGTGTGTGTGTGTAAGTGCACACATGTGCAAACTTAATATAGCCCACGTTGACTAGTTTCCCCAATTTATATATAATAACGATGCTATCCTAAAACCTCACAGAACATCCTATTATTCTCTCGTATAAATATCTGTCTTATCCCCCTTTATCTAGACTCTGAAAAGGGCTAGGGCTTAAGTATTAGATTCCATTTGGCTTTTCCCTTTCACACAATGGAATCTCAACTCCAGTAAAAATTTACACTTCCATAGAAATTTATTTTCAAACACCTCCTCCACCCCTTTTTATAAAGTCAAGGAATCTTCATTTAAAATGAAAGCTTATGAGGAAACCAATATATTAAGAAGAGTGAACTGATGAATTTTGGGATGAGGAGAAGAAAGCGGTCTGGGATGGGGGAAGTGGCACGTATCCTACCCATGTAGTCTAGTCATCTTATCATCCCTTCTACTCCATCCTCTGCACTAGCCTTTGCCTTTGGAGAATTCCCTCAGAACAAAGCTAAGGATGATTTACTGTTTGACAGTATTGATTAGAATTATGCCTACTGAGCAATTCTCTAGTCCAGAACTATTTTTAGTATATTCTAAATGCATTTTGGCTTCAAAAGTATAGTTCCTTGAAGCAGTGAGAATGTTTCACTAGAAAAAGAAGTAATTTGTTTCTAGCGTAAGTTGTATAAAATGGGGAGACATAAATTGTATCACATCATACACTGTCTTAAAGAACTCTCAAATGGATATAGAAAACCATGTTTAAGGGAAATATTTTCAACTAAACTTTCCAAATATTCTGGTTAACCTTTATCAATGGCCATATGCCAAAATGAGTAATTCTCTTTTTCCTAAAATTTTTTTTTTAATTTTTTTAACGTTTATTTTATTTTTGAGACAGAGAGAGACAGAGCATGAACGGGGGAGGGTCAGAGAGAGGGAGACACAGAATCTGAAACAGGCTCCAGGCTCTGAGCTGTCAGCACAGAGCCCGACGCGGGGCTCGAACTCACGGACCGCGAGATCATGACCTGAGCTGAAGTCGGCCGCTCAACCGACTGAGCCACCCAGGCGCCCCCTAAATTTGTTTCTTTATGTTAATTGGAAATCTCAATATCTGTGTCCTGATTTCAAATGCAAAGTAACTGTCAAGATTTCAAATGCAAAGTAAATGTCAAGAAGTTGACAATGGTAATCATAAGAACTCTTAATCAGAAAGTTAGTTTGTGACCTTGAAGATACACAAATGACTTATAAGATAAATTCTGTGCAAGAGCAAAGGTTAGCATTTGCTCCAAGGTTTTTTAACTTACAAGAAGGTACCTTCCTAGACATAAAGTTTGTTTTTGTTTTAGAAGGCCTACCTAATTTATAAAGCAAAAAATAGAGTGATAAAAAGTATACATAATACTTTATAATACCTACCTGTGTTGACTGTATTACTGTAAGGTCATTAATATAGCAAAATCCTGCCCCCATAGCAGAACGAAGTCCCGCCGTCCCAAAAGTCATTCGGCAACAAAGACGATCTCGTAGCTCTTTGTTCATTCCATTCCGTAACAGATTTTCAATTTGCTCTTTTGTTTTGGGATTCTATAAAAAAGTATTAAGACTTAATCAGGATCACAAGCAGAGTCCTGATATGAAGCCCTTCTGAGGAGCCAGTAAATATTATGCATATTTCACAAGGTTCTAAATATAAGTTCCACAGTGCTACTTATCAATATTAGTATGTATAATAAAACAATACCTGTCATCTACGGAGCCCCCCAAAGAACCAGACCCTTACCGAAGGTAATGCACGTATCTCTAATTGTCATAGCATTTTTGGTAATACTACTCAAGAATTTTTTAACAAATTGATAAACTTAAGAGCTATGGAACCCAAATAAGCCTCCTAGTCAAAAACAACATTAAGTAAGTTAGAGTCTGTCTTAAGTTTTAAAAGAAATAAGGAACCTATTGGATAAAAGCCATCAACACATGCCTACCAATTACTTCCTAAACCTCTGCGATTCAAAATGACCAGGTAAGCCTTCTGCTCTTTAAAGTCACAGAAAACCATTCAATGTATCTACAGTAAAGGTGATCATAAAAAGGTCTTAGATGTTAAATGTGGACTTGGTTAAGAATAAGAATGAAAATTCAGTCCAAGCTTGGCTTGTGAGGCAGGACATGCCAACATCTATACTTTAGGATTATGTATTTCATTATCACATCCATTAACTTATTTTCATAAAGCTCATGGATACTCTTGACTGAACTATTACTTTACAAGCAAGTTTCAAATGGAAGTGCAATTATAATAAGAATAAAATTTGAATGGAATTTTCTAGTATTTTCCTTATAAGAGAAAGAGTCAAATATTATGAAAATAAGGTGAGCCACAACTTCTCCCTTCCATACTATATATAGTATGGATTTAGTCCATACTAACAGCTTAGATCTTCTATGTCTATGGCCTATACAATGATAACGAATATTCAGAATGATAAACCAAGGCACCTATAAGGTGCTAAATATTAGAACAGATTTGTACTTGCAAAGAAATAAAAACATTAAATTATATTAATATAATTTATTATTTAATATAATAAATAAAATATTAAATTATATTAATATATAATTTAAACAAAAAGATTTTCTGGGGGCACCTGGGTGGCTCAGTTGGTTGAGCGTCTGACTTCA